TGGAACTGGGAGAGGAGGCAGTTTGACCGGTAGCTTCTGCAGTCGGTCGGTGCGGGTTCCCTTGCACACATACTGGTAGAGCTCACTTCGTGTGCAAATGGCGGCTGTTGTTGCGTGCGGTAATGTAACCTATAGCGCGCTGCGCTATGAACTAGGCAACACGAGTTCGATTCCCACTCACCGCCACCAACACCAGTGACTATCTGAACCAGACTTGGGCCTCCCTAGATCGACTCAGCCTCAAATGAGTGCCTGGTGCAGTGTGTAAACATCGCCACTGGGGAAACAAAAGCGGTCGGGTGTGGTGCTGGCCATACACCCACTCCTGAACTTATTGTTAAGGCTATATTGGGGGTCTTTGTTGTGGGTAACTGTGTGCGCACATTGGAATATGATCATGTGTGTTGATGCATTTTATTTGACTGCGAGTGTAAGTTAACACTGAACCTTGTTTTTTATTTGCATTTTTAGCTTCTATAAGTATTGCTGGTTTTGTAGAGCGTGTTTTGGGAGTGTGTTAACGTTCTGGATAGCTAACACATGGGTTTGTGTATTTTAATGTGTGTGTTTGTGTATATGTATTTGTTGCTTTTTCTATGCCTTAAATATTCCAGGAAGTAACCACACTGTCAGTGGTTGGCTGGTGCACCATCTGGTGACAAAGTGTGAACCCAGAATATTGTGATTGGTGACATTTGCACAGCTTGGGCAACCCACAGTCTAAGAGCAGTTTTAGTGCCGGGCATAATGGACTTCAAAAGAAACGTCCTGAGGGAGGGTGGTGATATTACACAGGTTGCAAGACAGAACATTATTACAACAACATTGACTAAACGATGATCTCTGCTGGATTGGACGAAGAGCTAACGTTTGACCACACTGATTTCCAGATAATGAATATTCAGCTTGCCAGACCTGCAGAGAAGAAGCTTGCAAAGCCCAATTGTAGTTTTAGTCCAGGACAGTTCTGTGAAAATGTCATACAGTAGACCCTTGAATGTCATGGGTTTATTTTTTGCGGTTTCGACCTATCTCGGGCAACCTCTTTGCATACCAATTTACATATTATTGGGTCTTCCGGTAAAGTCACGTAGATAGGTTCAAAGAAAATAACAAGAAATAACAATTTACTCTTTCCTGGGAAGACTTCTGGGAAGGAGGGCGGGGTGGATGAGGAATGCGAGGAAATCGGTGGCACCTCAACCTTTGCCATGCAAGCATTTAGTCTTAACAGACTGTTAGGGAAAGTAGCACCTATGAAGGTTGGCACGGCACACAAAGGGGTAGGTTACCAGAACCATTTCCGGCCGCCTTTGTCTCCCCAGTGGCGATGTTTACACAACACACCAGGTACTTATTTGAGGCTGAGTCGACCTGGGAAGGCCCAGGGCCAATTCAGGTAATCGTCATGGTTTTGGGCATTAGCGGAAATTGTACTCGGGTCGCTGGGTTCATAGCGCAGCACGCTAACCGAAGTACTACCACTCTCCACTCGCGCACACACATCGTCATCATTGTTAGCAGAGTAGTCAGTAATCAGAATCCTATTTATTCTCATGGAATGTTTTGTTTCTATAGAGTTTATCTTTGTTTATTTCAATTGTTTTGTTTTTAGTCTAGTTGGCATGCTGTACAGTACTTATTTCAATTGTGATGCGTATTTTTGGTTGCCATTTATCTAACCCCTTTGTTTCGGTAAGGCTTAAGTATTGAATATCACTGTTTTGACTTTCTTGGCACGTTTTTTGATGTTGTCAAGGCCTAAGTACCATGAAGAGGCTTCGGCTTTGGGTTGTTCCTTGTTTTCGATATCCCTGCCCCTCTGCTCACATTCGTTATGGATTTTTTTTTATTTTGGGCAGACCCGGCAAATGCTGTGTGACAAGGATTCGGAGCCGTTTCCTGTTCAACTTGGCGTGTGACAGGAATTCCCTCTGGCCACATACATTACGGTAAGTCCCCGGGTAGCGGAAGACCCGACTTACGGAAATCCAACCTTATGGACATGCTCCCATAAATCATGTCAAAAAAATCAACATGCGGGAATTTTTGCTTTAGTTACTTAAGCGCAAATAGTCCAGCGCGGTGAGGTTGTGGATGAATACCGCGGAGCAAGGCATAAGGCAGGCAGCATCTTCCCCAAGGCGGTGGTGTATAGTCGCTCTGTACCCTCAGTCATGCTGTTACATTGTTACCGTGCGTATACTATATCTGTCACATCGTCTCGTAACTTTCAGTGTAATATCACCCTTAATTGCATTGCAATAATGACTGGAAAAGATTAAGGTCAATGGAATTGTTTTCTAGCATTACCTAATTATTTTTCTTTTGTAGCATTCCGTAATTTTGGTTTTCTGTACTTCGAACTATCTTGTTTTTCCCATGTTTTTCTTTATGGTTTTGATTTGAAGTTTATTTCATAAGTTATTTACGTTATGTACTTTTTCTTGTTTCTTTCGGTAAAGTCACGTAGAAGGGAAGTAATAAAATAATAAAAATAAAACATAATAAAACAATTCTCACGACGTTTCGGCTACAACGCAAGCAGCCGCAAGCAGCCGTCTTCACCTGAAGACGGCTGCTTGCGTTGTAGCCGAAACGTCGTGAGAATTGTTTTATTATGTTTTATTTTTATTATTTTATTACTTCCCTTCTACGTGACTTTACCGAAAGAAACAAGAAGATGAATCCCTGCAGTCACGAAAGCTTTAAATCGAAAGTTAAGTACTTTATTTAACACAATTACACTTCGATTGCTTATGGTTTCAGCCAACAGCACTCGGAGAGGTCTCGGCCTAGTCTATGCCTGGTAAATGAATATTCGGAAGTGACTGTTTTCTCTTAACAATTAATATTAGAATGTCTCATGGTGTTCATAAATATTTGGATAAGTTTTTCTTGCATTAGTTTAATTATGGGTAGTGTTAGGGTAGATATTCGATGAAATGAAAGAATCATCGGAAGTGCAGAACGTATGTACAGCAATACGATACAGGTCGCGACAGAAAATGAACTATAGCGCGATACAGTACGAGTAATTGGGTAGGGGCTGGACAACTCTTTCCTGCTATGGGATTTCGTCTTGATTTTGGGGGAAAATTGTTCAGTTTCCGGCATGGGAAATTCGGGTTACGGGTCGTTCTCGGGAACCTAACCCTTCCATGACCCATGGACTGTGTACATGAAGATAGCATCTTCAATATACACATAGTTTTGATAACCTCACAATGGCCCTACAAAATGCATTTGCTACAGTTACAATGAGAGGCTAATCGATGGCTGGTGAAAGTTAAGAGATTGTTTCCTGCTGGTCAACCATGTTATGTATGCTGATGATCTGGTATTGGCTACTCAATGCGATGGAGTTAGGGACTCTTGTTCTGTACCTGAAAATTTTCATTATAAGGAGGAGCCTTACTTATGTTCCAAAAAAATACAGCACCTGCCTGGGTATTTCATGTCATCCAACATTCCGCCTGCTCGCCTCTTAATGAGTAATCAGGCAGTTCTACAGGTGGTGGAGGAGCTCCCATATTTCGTTAATGTGTTCACGACCAGCTCTGGTTTGGTAGATAAAGTCTCAATTCAAGTTAGTCAAGCAGCATTCTTTAATGTCTAACATGGTGAGGAAGCTGCTTGGACCGTTGCTCCATACAAATCACTGAATCTTCTTGCCCACCGCTATGACCCCTTTCTCTGTGGATGTGAAATATGGACTCCTTTAAAGAACCATTTGTGTTGGCTTATACAATTAAGGCTGGCCTGCCTATGATTCATCCTCTATTGTACCAGATTTGATGGTTTTCGAAGCTTACAAATCCCTGAGATATCCGTACAAAATATAATCAGTGAGCCTCTTTGGCAGGCGAAGCTGCAATCGTTGGTCATGAATCCCGCATGCTCAGAAACTGTGTGCTCAAGCAGCGTAAGTTAGTTCAGATGCGAGGGACTAAACGGGTAGGGAATGGGCTCGAGAAGAGATTGTAAGACATGGAGGTGATCGGATTTGCCCATGACTGGTACCAGGAGTGTGAAGATCGGCCTCTGTGGAGGAGGCCCGTGAAGGATGTTGCAGGGTAGTTGGAGGCATTCATCCTGCAACAGTGAGGTCAGAGGAGTGACACATGAATGGATGGAGCACTGGGTGGCTAAAATGCAGCAAGTTGGCACAGTGGGTAGCACAGGTGGTGCATCTGCCAGTCATCTCAGTTATCCCTTGACACCTGGATCATTCCCATGACCTCCTGGCAAGTGCTCCACACTTAAATAGCCTTCAATTCGCACCTATCATGGCATGATCACTGTGATGATGTTACTAACATATAATGGTGAATGGTGGCTGTTTTCTTTATATAATCTGTTAATGACACATGTGAAACATATCTGTATGTAAGAGTGTATCTAAATGGGGAGCGGAGACACATTTGTTCGTCCACTGCATTATGGAGCCAACATTCAGAGTTGAATTTCGATTTAAAGCTTTCGTGACTGCATGGATCCATCTTCTTGGTTCTTTCGATAAAGTCACGTAGAAGGGGAAGTAATAAAATAATAAAAATAAAACATAATAAAATAATTTTAAATAATACTCACGACGTTTCGGCTACAACGCAAGCAGCCGTCCTCAGGTGAAGAATGAAACACCACCAAGCTTGGAGCGTATATTTAAGCTGGTTTGTCAAGGCACTCTTCTTCCCACCCCCCCTCCAAACCAGCTTAAATATACGTTCCAAGCTTGGTGGTGTTTCATTCTTCACCTGAGGACGGCTGCTTGCGTTGTGGCCGAAACGTCGTGAGAATTATTTTATATTATTTTATTATGTTTTATTTTTATTATTTTATTACTTCCCCTTCTACATTACTTTACCGAAAGAACCAAGAAGATTCAGAGTTGAATTATTGCTGACAGCAGACATGATTGACAAGTGATAGCTTAACTTATTGTAGGCCTCTGCTGAGTTGATGTGTTCCTAGGTTAAGTACTTGGTGACGCATTATAGCATCTGTACTGAGCAGATGAAGGCAGCCAGGCATGGTTTTTGCCACAACACCACCTTCTTCACCGTTCCAGTGCGTGAGAATGTAAAGTTGTTATTTGCTGTAAAGTATATTGACCATATTAAACACCTAGGTTTAGTAAAAGCAATAGGGTGTTTTTATTACATGTGTAGTGGATTCAACTGAGTCACAGACGTACCCTTTGGAGGCAACACATTTATTGATACCAACACAAAGTGGTAACTGCCCCTTTAGCAGATAACAGCCTATGGTGGTGGACCACCAGGCTAACTACACTAATCACACTGGGATTGGTTACAATGGACAGGACCCCGGCTTGGGTCCCGGTCCATGTGTTGGTGACTCTTCTCGGACGTAGAATGTAGATCTTAAGGATAACAACAGCAACGCATGAACTCTGGTCCCTCTGGGGACCCGGTTTATATCCCCACTGTTCGAGCAGGATCTCACCCTGACATGTCACCACCCCTAGCCCCCACTTTAGGCCCCTCTGGTGATCTTACCTGTCACGTGCCTTCCAGGGTCAACTCGAGTGCCATGGCCTTTATTAACCCCATTCATGGCCGGCACTCTCACACCCCCTCCTATAGGAGACAGCACTGCATGCCGAGCGTGGTGCCACTCAGCGCTCACCAAGCCCCTCTAGGGCTGGTACTACACCCACATGTACGAGGTGTCTGCGATGGCAATACATCGCAACGTCGTGCCTCGCGAGAGCCGGCTTTACCCAGTGACCGCGACGAATGTCACTTCATACGTGATGTCCGCGATGTAACTACATCGCACGCCGTGCCTCTCTAGGGCCGACACCCCATAGTGACATCCGCGATGTCACTACACACGTGTAAAGAAGCTCATTGGAGACATCCATTTTCAGGGGAGGAGAGCTTTATTTCTCTCAACGTATATAGAGTCCAAGTGTAATGACTGCCACACACGTAATTGCTATGGCTATCTTCAGCCCCCATGGTTTCCACCAAGTTGTTAACTGAACAGTCAACCCCGATGGTTTCCAGTTGGCCCCAATGTCGTCCACCTCTGGTCGTCAATTAGTCCCTGAGTAAGCACCCCGACCGTGGGCCTCGCTCCTCCTTATATACTCGCTCGCCCCCCCACCCCCACTTTACTATAACATGTGTGTCCTTAATTGAATAATGCTTACAGTGCCTTCCGGTCACCTATTTCCATTCGTCACAACGCGCGCCTTCTGGAACCTTCTCTTGTACAGTCCCGGACACATGGAACGTTTCATAAGCATGGAAAATACAGCACTTAAAGCTCAAATTACATCTGTCCATCTGAGCATTCAAGCAAATCTGAGCCTGGCTTCGGACTTCCAAGTTGTGATTGAACACTAATTTGTCCATTTTAGAATGTTTCTGCCCATTGCAAAGAGTTTCATTTTTAACACCATTTGCTATTTTCATCAGACTTTTGCAATAGTTAACATTTCTTCAGTAGCCATATAGAACCGAAATTCTGTACGTAGAGTTATGGGTTATCATTGATATTAAATATACTAGGGCCTCCAGGCATTATACTGACCACTTGCCTACTATGCCAGGCCAAGAGCTGATCGTCAATAGTAGCAAGTGCCTTAAAACAGCCTGTGTGATGAATTGGGTTTTTTTTTCTCGTTAATGTTTGAGTGTTCTTGTCTATGTAATATGTGAATATTACGTGTGACTATATATATAAATTTCTATGCTTCTATGCTGACTTACATTGTGTGGATTTTACTGTTTTCTGTCTGCAGCTGCTAGATCCTCTGCCGCATTGCTGTACAGAATTGGTCAAATGGAGCGAAGACAATCAGCGGGAGAGAAACCATTCAAGTGCACTGTGTGTGGGAAGGCGTTTGTATATCCATCAAATCTTCAGGTCCACCAGAGAACACACACGGGAGAGAAACCCTTCAAGTGCACTGCGTGTGGGAAGGCGTTTGCAGAGTCATCAACTCTTAAAAAACACCAGATAATACACACAGGAGAAACACCCTTCAAGTGCACTATGTGTGGGAAAGCGTTTGTACATTCATCAAGTCTTAAAAGACACCAGATAATACACACAGGAGAAACACCCTTCAAGTGCACTGTGTGTGGAAAGGCATTTGCAATGTCATCACATCTTAAAATACACCAGATAAGTCACACAGGAGAAACACCCTGCAAGTGCACTGTGTGTGTGAAGACCTTTACACAATCATCATATCTTAAAATACACCAGAGAATACACACAGGAGACACACCCTTCAAGTGCACTGTGTGTGGGAAGGAATTTTCACGTCCATCACATCTTAAAACACACAAGAGCATACACACAGGAGAAAGACCCTTCAAGTGCACTGTGTGTAGGAAGGCGTTTGCAGATTCATCACATCTTAAAATACACCAGAGAATACACACAGGAGAAAAGCCCTTCAAGTGCACTGTGTGTGGGAAGGCGTTTACACGTTCATCAAATCTTAAAACACACCAGAGCATACACACAGGAGAAACGCCCTTCAAGTGCACTGTGTGTGGGAAGGCGTTTACACGTTCATCAAATCTTAAAACACACCAGAGCATACACACAGGAGAAACGCCCTTCAAGTGCACTGTGTGTGGGAAGGCGTTTGCACGTTCATCATATCTTAAAACACACCAGAGCATACACACAGGAGAAACGCCCTTCAAGTGCACTGTGTGTGGGAAGGCGTTTGCACTTTCATCATATCTTAAAACACACCAGAGAATACACACAGGAGAAACACCCTTCAAGTTCACTGTGTATGGGAAGGGTTTTCGACAGTTAGGGGATCGAAACAAGCATCAAACCATTCATCAGGAAATTAATCTGAAATCGGCATGTGGAAGTCAAAGTGCTGCAATGAGCCCATCCCTCATGAAACAAGAACCTGAAAAACATTTGAGATATGAAACGTGGCCAGGAGTGAAGATGAAATGTCAAGAAGCGAAAATGAAATTTGAATCAGCAAAGGTGAAAAGTGAAGTGACGGTAAAGAGTGAAGAAGTGATGGTGAAATGTGAGCATGAAGATTTTACTCCAAAATCCGACCTTCACATCGATCGAGGCAGCATTAAGCTGGAGGAGGCTGTGGACTCTGAGGCAGAGCGAGGCAATGCCCAGCAATTTGTGGATGTGGAGGTGTGGGTGGATTTTTTAGGCAATACTGAGTCAAATGGAAACCAAGTTGATGTGTATCATTGAGCTTAAGATAAAGAAGTTCCATTTACTTTACAGGCCTTTCCCGTAATAGAGGTTTTTGGAGTTAGATCGTGTAAATATATACATTTGTCGTTAAAACCCACCGCCACCCGACACAGCCAACTTCGAAATGTTGTCACGTAAACAGAACATGCCAATTTGTCACTAGTACAGCACACCTGTGTCTTGGAGAGCCAAACCACAACATTTACGATCTGAGTACAAGGTTTCGCCAGTCATTACAAGCGACAGCCAGATTTTTGCCTTTCCCATTAAAAGTGTTTAACCTCCAAGTAGTCAATAGAGGCAGGGTGAAGCTGGAGGAGGCTGTGGACTGAGTGAAATGAAACCAAGCAGTTTGTCGAGGTGGACTTGTTGGAAGATGCAGAGTAGGCGCGGCCAGCATGTGTGGACTTAGAGGTTGGGTTGATCTGCAAGCAGGAGCTGGAGACAAAAAAGCTCCACAGCATTCAACGTGTTATAATAATATTTAGATTAATAATTTGCGCTTGCATAAATGTTTTATTTCTTTCTCACTGTATGTAGTCAATCTTGCTAATCAAAGGTGAAATGCTTCAGCAACTTAAAGCGGCTTGGATCATTTAATCTCAATCGCTCGACGGCTAGCCCAAGTCGCAGCTGTCCCTTTGTGGTACAAGGTGACTCAGTACCGACCTGCACGTGGACATGAGTCTGCCAGTAGGGTGGAGCGATGATTGATGTGTAACCCCAGTTGGGTAATTTGTGGCTAATCTTTTGAATCTGACAAATTTTGACTCTGACACCATGACTGTTGAATATCTACTGTTAAGCAGATGGTGCGTATTTTTGGTCAATATTGCTGCAGTAATCATGAGGGCTGCCGACAGCTATGAACTGTGAACCTCTTTAAACAAATGTCAACCGTGGTATCATTTGGCATCTCTCATTCTACGAATGCATGCAGGTGTAGGCATCCATTCAGAGATCAGTGTACAGTAAATGTGCTTCTTCTTGGTTCTTTCGGTAAAGTCACGTAGAAGGGAAGTAATAAAATAATAAAAATAAAACAAAATAATTCTCACGACGTTTCTGCCACAACACAAGCAGCCGTCCTCAGGTGAAGACCAGGTCTGTCGAGGCGACAGCGTCTAAAAGAAAACACCATCACGCTTGGAGCGTCTATTTAAGCTGGGTTGGAAGGGCGGGAAGAAATGCGCATTGACAAAATAATCTGCATATCAAGAGGAATTTAGCATATTTATATGAAATGCAGGAATGCGATTAGTGCTATTTGTGAAATGCTAATCCTGCATAATGCCCATGCATTATGCAGGATTATCAGCATCAAAGGGAGGGGGATAGGGGTAGCATTAATAAAGGGAAGGAATGTTAATAGTATGTAGCTGCAGTCACTAAACAACAACGTAAAACGCTAAAGTATAAATTACATAGTATTAAATTGTATACTGTATTACTATACACTACCCTATGTCTTAGAATAATACATAGTGTAATATTACACTATTATTCTACCTACCCAACTGTATACCACCCTGCTGTATATTCACTATACAATTTCGATACTATATATTACCTTATACATTGTATTAAACATTACACTTCAATACAATGTATTATTATACAATATGCTATGCACTATACCATTGACCGTCGCGTGAACGGAGCAAAGAATCCATTCCCTGCGGAGAATACAAGATATATAGTCAATGTCAGTGAGTGGAACGCGGTCTGAAAGTCACGGTAAATGTGGACACAATCCGTTAAGATCCGAAATGGTTAATTACGTCCTTCCAATGATTGCTAAGCCGGAATCCATCTTCTCGGTAGAAATTATCTCTGTGTTTGTATATGTGGATCGCCTCATGAACGAATCTCTCATGGTAGCCAGATGGCTTGCACAGAACCTTTGTCTTGGAGAAGTCAATGTAATGTGAGCCCACTGAATTGTAACAGTGATTTGCCACGGCTGAGGTGTTAGTCCTATCGTGGTTCAAGTTTGCTTTATGTTCACGGATGCGGTCCGAGACATGTCGTTTGGTTTCTCCAATGTTACTGCTACCACAGAGGAAACTTAGTTTGTAGACGCCAGGGTACTGTATGTCTGGAACCACATCTTTTACAGACGGGACCAGATCACGGATTTTATGTACGGTGTTGAATCGGACCTGGATCTTGTGTTTAATCAGGATTTTGGAGATATTTTTTGTGACCCCAGCAATGTAGGGTAAGGTGATGGTCTTGAGAGGCTCCTCAACAGGATCCTTTTTGATGGTTGGAGTGATGGCTTTGCGGATTGTGTAGTCGGAGTAACCATTACCCTTAAAAGCTTGGCGTACGTGTTTGAGTTCACTGGCAATGTGTTCCTGGTCGGAAATGCATTGGGCTCTATGGTATAGAGACTTGAGGGAATTCTTCTGGGATGGATGGTGGTGGGAATCCGGTTTTAGGTAAGCATCCTTATGGGTGGCTTTCCTGTAGACAGAGTGCTCCTTGAACCATCAGGTCTCCTTTTAATTAGGACATCCAAAAAGGGTAGCTTGCCATTTTTTCGACTTCCATGGTGAATCTGATGGCTGGGTGTATGGAATTGATGTGGTCGAGAAATTGGTCGAGAGCAGACCGGCCATGTGGCCAGATGACAAAAGTGTCATCTACGTACCTCTTCCATAAGGTCGGGCGTAGAGTGGCAGTCTGGATGGCGTCAGTCTCAAATTTATCCATGAAGACGTTGGCTACAACCGTAAATGGGGGGGGGGGGGGGGGGGGGCATTGGGGTGCCCTCAGTTTGCTTGTAGAAAGTTCCATTCCAGGTGAAGTATGTATTGGTTAAGCAGTGTCTCACCAGGGGGGGTACCCCAGCATTCAGTCCTTGATGAACCAAGTCTTCAATGATTGCGATGGTGTCAGGTACAGGAACTTTGGTGAATAAGGAAACCACATCAAAACTCCCTTTGATGCTGCTAATCCTGCATAATGCATGGGCATTATGCAGGATTAGCATTTCACAAATAGCACTAATCGCATTCATGCATTTCCCATAAATATGCTAAATTCCTCTTGATATGCAGATTATTTTGTCAATGCGCATTTCCCCCCCCTTCCAACCCAGCTTAAATAGATGCTCCAAGCGTGATGGTGTTTTCTTTTGGACGCTGTCGTCTTGACAGACCTGGTCTTCACCTGAGGACAGCTGCTTGTGTTGTGGCCGAAACGTCGTGAGAATTATTTTCTTATGTTTTATTTTTATTATTTTATTACTTCCCTTCTACGTGACTTTACCGAAAGAACCAAGAAGATGAATCCCTGCAGTCACGAAAGCTTTAAATCGTAAAGTAAATGTGCTATAATGTGAAGCAGTATATTTCAATGCAATAGTTCAATGTTGGCGATGTCTCTTGATAATTTTGAGTTATAATTTTACACGTGTATGATCTGATTGAGCATATACAGCAAAAGCTCTTATCCAGCATCCATGGGGAATCGAGGGTGCTAGTTCATCAAATTTACCAGTTATCTGAAAGGTATACTTAATGTTTCAGCAAATGTCTCAAGTATAAAAAGCATTTTTCAATGAATAAATTAAACATACATTTTAACTATGATATTAAAATAATTTACTCTTTTATAGAGGTACTGTGAGGGTCGCTAGCCCCCGAGATCCCTCCCTCGATGAGGCTTACGGCCGGGCTAACATCCTCACTCGCCCCCCCGCCGCTAAGCGAACCGCTGCTGGGTTCTTCACCCATGGTGTGGGAGCCGTCGCTCGAGGATTCCCCTCCACCGCGGGTCCGCGTCGTAGGCATGGTTAGATACCGAGTAGTATTATGCCCCCTTTACGCTACCACGATACCTCCCTTTCCTAATCGCGCACCTGCAACCCACGGAGCTGAACGTACGCACGCCCACACACACGCCGCTCCGCGCACTCCAACTCAACTCACGTTATGATCGCGCACCTGTATCACACACGGAGTGAACACATGCGACACCCACTCTCGCGCCGCTCTGCGCAGCGCTCCCCCGAGGCGAGCCGCAGCACTACACTCACCCCTGACTACTCGCGTTATGATCGCGCACCTCTATCGCACCCGGGGTGGACGCACGCACACACACGCAGCTCCCCACGCGACACACCGCCCAACAAGATCACGCGAGACCACGCTTCGCTATTAATGATTTATTATCTGCTACCTGGTAATTAATGTTATGTCAGAATGAGTCGACGAGGCTGGCCTATCCTACTTCTCCTGGACCTATTCCCTATTTATCGGCTTACGATACCCTGTCACCTTGCTACTCACGGGTCGAAGTATTCGGCATCCTGTGGCTTTTCCTCTATGCCGTCGGGGCACGTCGCGCGGACGTCCGGAGGGCAGAGCTGGGAGCCGACTTGCACGCGTGCCTCTTGAAGAGAAGTGAGACTCTACCTTGCTGCGATCCCTTTTATCCTTTGTCCCGTACTCCCGAAGGCTCTCCGCTCATGAGCGGCGCATATGCTAATTAATCCTCTGTCCGCGCGGTGTAAACTCTAAACAATGGCTCGCGCCCCCTTGCACGAGCACGGCGGCTCCGCGGCGCCTCCACGGCGCTTTTGTTATGCTAATCAATGAGCGACCTGCGCGGCGCAAATTCCAATCAATCCCTTTCTCACGCAGGCCCCCCCATTATTGCAGTTCATGCGGCGGCGTCCGTCACAAAGGCTCGCCGTGGGAATCTGTGCCTGGGCTCCCCGTGCGCCTCCCCTCTCCCGATCTATTCATACCTTCAGCTCAATCATTTACCCTCCCCAACAATTGTGCCTGCGCGCTCAAGCGCAACTATCCCAACCTTCCGTGACTATGCGCAAGAGCCCCTGCGGTCCTGCTACTCATGCTGTCCCGTCCTTCCCCTGCTGGCCTCGTCGATGCGTGGGGGGGTGGGGGGGTGTGTGTGGGGGATGCGTTTCAACCGTGGTGGCTGAATGCCCTTCGCCGCAGCCACACCATATTAAGGCCGGTTGCAGCGCCGCGGTGCAACGTAGCGTCGGGGGAGGTCATCCAATTCCCTGATCGCCGGAAACCGTGAGAGTTAATCCCGATAAGGGTTTCTCGGATAAAAACCGGTCGATCAGGTGTCCTCCCCTTCCAGCTCTATGGGGGGGAATGCGTGCGGGTGTGTTCATGTGAGGTGAGGGGGACAAGGGGTTGGCTCCGTTGCTTGGTGGTGGCGAGGTCGGGGATGGGTCGCCTGCCGAACGGCTTCGTGGTGGCGGCATCACATAGCCCCCCGAGGTGCCAGTCCCTGTCCCGGGTTGACTGGAGCACCTCGCTTGGGCCGTGCCCACGAGGAAGCGTTGCGGGGTCCGGGGCATCCGTCCGGACCTGGTGGCTGGCCTCGGGGCGGGTGGTTCCGTCCTCTGTAGCTCCTGCGGCGGTCCCTTCCACTTCAGCGGTTCTCCCCGTCCTCCGGCACCTGTGGGCTGGGGCACAAACTCAGCAGCGGAAGGGTTTAGTGGCCGTCGTCCGCGCCGTCTCCGGACTGGATCGGGGCGTCTCGGGGGCCCGGCGGGGCCCATGTAGTGTGCGAGGCCCCCCAACACGAGGGGTGCGGGTACTCCGGGATTTCGGGGCCTTCGGGTGACGGGGTTCTCTCTCGCCGGGGCCGCTTTCCACGGTTTTAAGCGGCGGACATTGACCACCGTCTCGACCCCTCTCCCTGCCATAAATTAGTACCGTCCAGGGGGAGATCTGCCGCACCACGGTCCAGGGTCCCCGCCAGTAGGTCGTCAGTTTCCCCACCTGCCCGGCCCCGACGCGAGGGGTGTGTAGCCACACCTTAGCGCCTGTCAGGAATAAGGGGGGTTCCATGCGGGGTCGGGTGCCCTGTTCCTGCCGCCGATGCGCGGCTTCCCCTTGCGGGTATGCTC